TATTGAAAAATGATTATCATAATGTATTTGGTAGATGTCTTTATATATGACCATTTCCAACTTCATAGTAAAGAAAGTTTTCAAATAAAACCTATCAAATTACATAATCAGAATAAAGGCTATAAACATCAGTTTACTCAATATTGTACTGAAATAATAATAATTATTATTTGTTAGTAATAATAAAACTAATAATAATTACTTATGTGATCCAAAGCACATGACATATTTTGATGGCCTTCCCATGATGCTGGAATGCTGAGTGAGAGATGCTTGATGTAGGAAAAAATGAAGCCCACTTGTGACAGGTACACCAGGGAGAAAGGTGGGATAGTAGAGGGTGGAAGCACTGGGTGGGAAATAGGATGAATACTGTAAGAACAGTTTAACCACTTGTAAATAAGGGGACTTGTTATAGCACTCTATGAAAGCAACAGACAAAGATTTCCTTCCTTTAAAGTTTCATTCCTTTATTTACCAGGCAATTCAACCTAGGATCAATACGTACTTAAAATGGATGCCTTGGAGGCCCTACTTGTTTAGTACTGTATGTCACGTGGCTGGGATATGTGAGTGATGTCCCATGCTAAACAGTACAGCTGCGATTCACCAATCTGGAGTCCACAGCCCTAACCACTACAAACTTCGGTGACTACTTCAGGACCAACAAAAAAAAAAGAACCTGAGCACACATGTGAAAATGAAGAGGGAGTGCATTAAGTTCCCTAGGTCATAAGCTACTTAGCAACCAAAAATCAGTTGGATGGGCCAAATGTCTCTTTACTTTATGACCTTTCTTTAGTTGGAGAAGAATAGGGCAGCAATGGAGGTAAGAAGAAACCCATATGATGAGCGTCAAGTAAAATCGCCTAACAGAATGAGATGAGCAGACAAAGTGGTGAGAAACACGAAAGGTCAAGTTCATCTGAAGAGTGACTTACTAGTCCAAGATGTCAAAGAAAAACAAAGCAGAGACATTGGGAAGTTAGGAGCCCCCCTTTCCAGTGATCCCTAGTGAACGATGTGACCCCGAGCTAGGATATTTCAACACTCACAGAGTGGCAGCAGTGAAAGTGGTCCAGACAAGGACCTGGACACTATTGACTAATGAATTGTACGTCTGCTACAGAGAGGTTGGAAAATGACAGAGTTAAATTGGAAGGAAATTCATGTTTGTTTGTACAAACATAGTTGAACAAACTATATCTTACAACATAATACATTTCAACTTCCAGAAAACATAAGAACAGTCCCCTCATGGTTGATTCCCAAAAACCATAGGAATCCAAGGCAGTTTTGTTCACAAGGATCATGAACCGGATAACAAAGGAGAAACCGCATGTCGTCTTAAGGGGAACAATGTCTAATAGAACCAATATACTGTAATAACACTATATCAGCAACAACAGAACCAAAACAATCTAAATTTCACTTAATATTGGAAGAAATGCACTCTACATGAAATCTGTTAATAGTTGATGCTTCGTACTTTAAGTTATTTTATATAGATTACTGATAAGATGTATTAAAATATTTTAAGCTGATGTAGTATACAGTACAGTATATACTAAGGACTACAGATTCTAAGGGCAAGGGAAAACTAAAATGAATGCTGATTATGCAATAATACAAAAAAAAATCCATTTTGAATCCAGTGTGATATAATACCACTCTTTGCCAGCTAAGGGAAACTAGCTGAAGAACCCTCATAAAAAGTGGCTATTGATCCTGATCAACTTGTAGAACACTGAATGTTAATAAAAGTACTGTACTGTATATCACCAAGGCAATCATTAGGGATGTCAATTTATCCATGACTACAACATTACCGGTCAACTTAGTAAACATAGATTCCAATAGCATTCCAGCACTTGATTAAAAAATGTGGTCAGACAACCATACCACCTTCCTAGAAAAGGTAGGATTTTCTTTTTGTCAAAACTCATAGTGAATAACACTAATGAGACGAAAAGACTATCACAGACATTAAGGAACAAGTGAGGGTTTATTCCACACTGTAAGGTAACTGAAGAACTCAAAATCTGAAGTGATGTGTTTTTTCTTTCTACTTTTCAGCATGGAATGAACCTGTACTGGTCCTGTACAGCCAGCATGCAGACACAGCTCAGCATTTAAACCTAGAAAAAATGCATAAACCTAGCCTAATGCACAAACCAACAATTCCTCCAAAAGTACAGTATCTTCTAAGCTAAAGCAGTGCCTTGCTTTTCTTCAAATAATACCTATACTGTGCTTATTTTGACTAACATTTTTAGTCATCATGTGCTCACCCACAACACAGAGGGAGTTTATCACTTTGAGAGAACCCTGTAACCATACTGATTAGTAATGGGGAAAAAAATAAAGAAAACAGACTCTATTGATTTGAAACCATTAACATAACCTTTAAGTTTCAATTCTGTCAGCAAACCCCAAAGAACCCACATTCCATGTGAACAAACAGCAATCATAGTTCTCATCTAACATATTTACTTTAAAGTGGAAAGAGTGCTCAGCTTCCCAAAGAATAAAACGTAGGCCAACAGCTAACTTCAGTTTAACCCAGTGTGACATAAGCAAACATGAACATAAATAAACTCCCCTCCATATTGTTGGTTTGATTTATTCTTTGTATAAAAATGAGAGATGTATCTTAACACATCCAAATAATAGGAAACCAAAACAGAAAATTCCCATATTGTGTTGTCTTAAGTTTTTCAGAAGCATGCTGTGTAAAAATATATATATAATGGGTCTCAAAGCACAATTTCTGCAGTACACTAGCAATGTTTTTCTACCACTGTCTGTTTCAGGGATCACACTAGAAGCAGATCTAGAATAAAGCGAGTTTGGGAATACTTTCTAAATAGTTAATGATACTGATATATTACCGGTAGTACTGGTAGTACTGGTACTACCGGCAGTACTGGTAGTACTGATGAGTAATTGTACCTCACCATGGTCATATATTGGGCACAACTAAAGCTTGTATATGACACACCACAAACTGCAAATCACTAGAATTAATGACTATGTTGCTAACAATTATATTTGCCAAAGAGTATTTGTCAGCATAATAGAAGGTCCCTGTGATTAACAGAGTGATCACTTCCTAAACCAGCTGAACAAAAATTTGACAACTAAATCTTGACACACTGAGTTAGAAATGGAAGAGAACCGAAAAAATGAATCTTTGAATTTTATTGATAACGTGACTTAAAAAACTGACAGAGAAAAATAAACAGATTTAACATCACATCATATGAAATCTATCCATCCATCCATTTTCTAAACCACTTTATCCAATACAGAGTCACAGGGGAGCCAGAGAACTACTGAGCCAAGAATCAAGGCAGGCTACACCCTGGATGGTACTGTATGCCAGTCCATCGCAGGGGCACACATAAAACACAAACACACACACTCACACCAAGGCCAATTTTCCCAGAACATACCACACTTTTTCTGAAAACAGCTGAGCCAAAGGTGTACTTATTCCTGGTCAAGTCTTTTCACATTGAATTGCTCAGTTATGCCTAAGCTGACATACTGCAAATAATGTGTTTTTTGTTTCTGTTAAGTAATCCTCCCAAAATATTTGCAGTTAACATCACGGTTATGATTAAATGAATGGAAACAGCCACTACCTACACCCATAATGATTTCCAACAAAAACCCTTCCACAGATGTGAAGGAGTAATTTTATAGTTCGCCTGTCAAACATCTATATTGACATAGTTAATCATCATGACTTAATTTACTCTCATGTGCTGATTTCTTTATGTTTCTGGAAACATTTCTATGAATATAGATGAATCCACAAATCTTTAAAGCACAAAAACATACTGTACGATGCCATTTATTTTACAACAGCAACATGGTTTGGTCATCCTTTTAATTAGACAATAGATATATAAAATATGTCCTATATTTTATTTGAGCATAAACACTGAATTCATACTTTGGTCATTTAATTTTTCTACATTAAAATGTTTAATTATTATCTTTATTGGAGACTGTGTCCTTATGCAAAGAAAAATGCACATAGATCAAATGAGTCATCCGTGCCCTCTGTGTCTGAATTCAGCCCTTGTACATCTGGTAAAAAAAAAAAAGTACTTTACTGCTCCCAACCTATGCAAAATCAAACAAACCACCAAATACAGTACGTGCTGTATGAAAGCAAATGAAACTGGGCTGTTCAACAACACCACACCCAGCCTACCTGTCTAGTTAGAGGAGTACAGCTTAAAATTGGCCTCAGAACAGAAAACTCTGTCATGTGACTGAAAGCAGCACATTCTTCAAGCGCAGAGCTGTGGCTCCAGTGAAGGGCTATTCTTAACAAAGAAACTGAGTCGAATCCAAGGAAATGCAAATCCAAACCACATTTCATGTTATGACTAAACCCATAGACCAGTACACCTGTTGATAGAAAAAAAAAACCTTACCGTTTTAATAGTTTTACAAAAATGATCGGTCTTACGTACTTTGAGGAGCTGGAGGTCCATACAGTATTTGACCTAGATCTTTTCTGCATTGTGATATGGAATGTTGTGTTATGTAGCGATAGTTTGTTTTTTTCCTTGATATAACAAGACATCTCCATTCCCAAGCTTCTATAGATAAGTAAATAAACTTGCACGTTCTGCTGCATTAAATGGCGTACATTAGACAGTATATCTAAATGTTCAGTCGTGCTAAGAGAATTATCTTTTGGCGGAAAGCAGCTCGTGTGTAATATACTGTCCAAACCATTACACATAACAAACGGGTGGTTTCTTGGCAGCAGAACGTAACATAGACTTCGGATCTGTAGCAGATCCCCAAAAATTACATTTTCAATGTTTTCCAAGTTGGCTTCATTGTGGGTTTATTTCAATGTTAAAATGTTTGAATCACTGTGACATTGGAACAGGGGGCAAGCAAATTCCCTTGTGTCTATCTACTGTAAGCAGTAATTAACCCTACCAGTAACTAGAAAAGGGAAGGCGACTCACCGAGTAAAAGCAATTTAAGCTCTCTGCGAGCATCCTTTTTGTCCCGACGCAGCTGTCGTTCAATTTCTTGATTTATCCTTTGACATTCCCTGTCTTCAGCAGACAGACAGCATCCCGCCATCATAGTTAAAACTAAAATCGAAGCCTGTCTGTGACAGACAGACAAAAATATATTTAATACAAAAATATTTCTTACAAATGTAGTGATTACTCTTATATTACTCCTGGAACACGCTTTCCTCTTATTAAGTGAAAACTCTCACTCCTGTCACCAATGGATGTTTGCAGGAAGTTTCCTCTCCAGGAAAAAAAAAGTCAATATATTTTATATGAATATATTTAAAACTAGTATCCCTGTTACGGCTGATATAAGAGGGCTTTTAAGTTGTTGTAAGTCCCTTTGTTCTGTGTATTGAAGCTGTTGACAGGCTGTTGGTAAAGTTACTCCACAGACAAGCTGACAGTTCAGTCAGTGAAGTGAATGAACTGCTGCGTGTTGGCAAAGGCTATATCCTGGGTTTTTTTTTCCTGTTGGAATTACATGGAGGCGGGGCGCAGACTACTTTTTTCTTTTCTAGGGTTGGGCGGTGTGAGGCAATGGCGATGACTGTGAAGTAAACTGGGTAAATGTGCACACATCGAGTGCTGAAGCCCAAGTAAAAAATAAAATGAGAGAGTCACGTTTACAGATAGTGATCTCTGTTGTCTGTGATTGATCATCTCACGGTTGAATTTATACCCACGAACCTTTGGTTCTTTGGGTAGTAAATTGTTAATGTACAGTATTTTAAACCTTTTTAATGTAGTCCTTCATAACGGAATTGCAATTTAAAATCTGATTTATTTTTAATTATGATATTGAAGTTATCCATCTGGTTCTTATTATCTAATGAAATACTCTGTGCAATTTATTTTTCCCACTCAGCAGGGTAATGCAAATGTTTTATATTACAGGGGTAAACGGATCTTTTAAACAAAAATAATGCAAACTAGCATATTACACGGAATTAGATCATCGATCTGAAATAGTAAAAAGCAAAATGAAATAACCACATACTGTACATGTTTATGAAAGCTCACATTTTTTTCTTGAATACCATGACCATTTTCAAATTACTTACGGCATCAATACAATTAAGGAATACTAAATAAACACGAGGGAAGTATATTAAGCGTACAAAACTATAAACTACCTAGCCATGGGGGATTTAAGGAAGTAATTCTTTCCTATCGCAGAAATGTTGAGATATTCAGCAGAAGTCGAAAGAAAAAACATCAATGTACAATAAAGATGGCTGGCATTAGAGGGTAGAAATAAACAAAAGTAGAACTAAAAAAGCACAAACTGGTATCTTTATTATCAGGGAGCCACTAAATGCAGAGCACAAAAAAAGACAAGATATATGTCAAGATATACTGTAGTTTATATGGTCTATAGTTAAGACTTCCACTTGAACATCAGAGCAAAGGTTTTAAAATCTTGAAAATTCAGAATCCAGATTTGATTGTGCTATGCATAGCTACTGCACATGTGATGTGAAATAATTAATACATAATTAGATACTGCAAAGCGATACTGTACATTCAGAAATATTCAAGCAACAAATTCGTAGTTACTATAGTAACATGTTTTAGAGCAGAGCTACACATTTTCAAAAGTCTTTTTTCAGGCACGGAAGATTTAGGAGGTGCTGTACAGTAGCGATCAGGTGGGAGAACAGATAATGAATTTAAGACTTACAGCAAAGGCAAAGAAATCTGAATTGTGATACTGTAGAAAGATAGAAGATAATCTCTATGTAGAAAAAAAACACCTTGAAGCCAAAGAAAAAGTCTTGTAGGTATTATGGCTGCTCGGTCAACATGCTGCAACCCAAAAAGAAAATGTGAAGGTATCAGTTTATTGCCTTAGATTTGTTTATGCTTTTCCTGGATCTGAAGCACAGTTTCAAATGATTTACAAATTTATTCAATACTGGTCACGGGGGATCCAGAACCTATCCTGGCTAGCAACATGTGCAAGTTTTCCATACTGAAAAGTACAAAGAAAGAAATTTTGAAGAGATAAAAAGAATTAAGGTTTTGGAAAATGTTTTCTTTCTACTTTTCATGGATAATTTACTTAAAAGAACATTTACGGTATCTGTTGCAAGCCATAAATGTAAAAGTAATAAAGTACAATAAAATACCTTCTTGTGCTCATAGCTGCACAATTCTTTTATTTCTAACAAGTTTTAAGAACATTGGAAATGTTTACAAATGCAAGGAGGCTACTGTAAGTCATTTGGTTGCCAATTGATGTGAGGATCTCATTCAACCATTTCTTGAAAGAAAACAATGTTATTAGCTATGAGGTAATGGCTGAGTAGCTTGTTTCAGACATCTAAAACCCTTTGCATAAAGAAGGCCCTCATACTATCATGCTTAAATGCCCTTCCAGATTCCACTTGGTGTCATCTGGTTTGTTTTTCATTGTTAATTATGACGAAGTCCATTGGGCTAACTTTGTCAAAGTCCTCGAGTGTCTTGAACACTGAAATCAAGTCCACTCATAGTCTGCCCTGTTCAAGATGAAAAGGCTTGAAAAACAAATGACAGGAGGCCATTCAGCCCATCTTAACCGATCTCAACCAGCAATTCCATGAAACAACCCAGGGTATCAGCTTCAACGTTCTGGCTTGGTTGTTCCACACTCGCGCAATCCACAAGTGCTGTTCTTGGTTTTAAATGCACTTTCACATTGTTCTTTTTGTTCCTCTTTATTCTAAAGAAGTCCACAGTGTTGAATTTTTCGATGCCTTTGAGGACATTGAGTATTTGGATCAGGTTCTTTCATTATGCTCACTGTACAAGACTAAAAAGATTCAGATTCTTCAGCCTGTCAGTTTAGAAAACTCCCTTAAATCCCTAGCTCTCTCTGGGCTTATTCCTTATTAGTGACAAATGCAGTTGACTCGCCCCGGACTAGACTTGGAGCCGTGTAGAATAGTTGGTCAGGGAGAAGTGCATTCTGCAAATGTTACCGAGGAAAAAGCAGGTGTGTAAGAAAAGAGATGCATAGGGAATGGTTGGTGATCAGGAACGGCTTCCAAGGTTTCTGGCAATATCCGGAGTTCAATGGAACGGGAGGAGGAAGGCCCTTAAAGGGGTTCAAATTTAAAGAGGTTGAACTTGAGACGATGAAACTGCATCCAGGAAAAGGTGGGGGAGAAACAAAAAGATGAGGAAAGAAATACTGGAAGACCTTTTATGGAAGAAATATTTGGGGATCAGCAGTGTAGAGGTGGTAGGAGAAGCCATGTGAGGGGATTAGAGAACCCAGGAAGTGCATGCAGAGAACAGGAGGGGTCCCAAAACTGAGACATGTGGAACACCTGTGGAGAAGCACTGGGGGGCACCAAGTGATCTACACCAGGAAATAAACCGACTAGACACACATAAGACAGGGACAACAAACAGCCTACATGCCATACATCATTCCAGCTCATCCCACACATGTTCAATGGGATTCAAGTCTTTCAAGTGCAGTTTCCTCTGCAATAACTGTCAAATTCCCACCCTGCAAGAAAACTGTTGTGCCCCAGGACTTGGCATCACCGCCGATACGTCCACTGGTGATGTAGTCCCAGCGGACCGATGGTACAGTGATTTTCTTTCTGGTAATTTTCACCAGGCTTGGCATTGAACAAGTTTCAAAACCTGTGTCAGTCCAACTCTCTCTAATGAGGCCAAATGATGCAAAAACCCATTTAAATGATTTCTGAAACCTACATGCTATATTCTTCAGCAAAATAATGCAAAAAAAGTTACAAGTTTCCTTTGACGCTCATTGTATTTTTGGATTTGATACTTTTTTAAGAAATATGTCATCTTAAATTGTTGTAGTATAAGCAAATGCAGAAACAGCATCACTTAAGAGTGATGTGCTCAAAATGTAGATTAAGGCAACAGATAGCAACTAAAGTATACTATACTTTATAAAGTATCAAAATATAACACAAAGTATTGCAGGATCTTTGTGACAGTTTTTCAAATATGTCACATTAAGCAACTTGTGGAAAGTCCAATGTGTACAGCCTTTTACTCTTTACCAGCCAGTTTTTCCAATCACTAAAACTGTTCTGCAGCAAAATCCCAGTCCGTTTCACCCAGATCACAACTTGGCACTACTTGTGAAGAAAAAGTAAACTTCTGTCTGATGAAGAGTCATAAATACCATGCATTTATTTTCTCAGCTGGTAAAAAAAAGTTCTGCAGTTAATAAGAATAACAGGGTTCTGAACTGCATACAGTACTTGGCGGTGATATTTGTAACCATAAAAAATGATCAGTCAAGAAAATGTGGAGTAGATGAGAGAAGAGGTAGTAAGAACACAAAATATTATCATTTATTACCCATGATTCATGCACTATTGCAAAAGATGATGTTCCCTTCTTTAAATAAAGTGATCATAGAGAACATTGTTTTTCTCCCACATTGTCTTTTAAAGGTTTGCTATCTCTTAATATCCACAATACATCAGTTGCTTCAACTCCAAATTATTGCATTCACCAAAGGCTTAGCCACAAAGACAAATAAGCTTCTTTAAGCATGTAAAGCTTTATACAGTATTATTAGCTGCAAACCATGATCAGTATAGCCCAATTCAAAATAGTGGATGAAAAAATGTTACAAAGCACTTTAAATTATCACAGGGGAAGCAGTGAACAAAACAGGAACACACTTCTATTGGCGACCCTTTGCAAAATGTGAACATTATTTCGTAATTTCCTATTCAGAATAATGCATATCCATAAGAAGCATCTCATAATTCTTGTTTAAGCAAACAGTAGGGGGTTAAAAAGAGCTTCTCTCAAATTTAACTTTTGGTAGTTGCTAGAAAATCTTCCTCTATTCTAAATACAATTATATATTACACCCTTTATACATTTCCCTCAGATGCTTATATTACAAATGTAAGAATCATTACACATTCCACCTGCTGTATATTAAACCCCAATAAATATATATTAACAGGTGCTTCACAAAAAGCACTAAAAAAACATCGTGCCACTCCTTTACTGTAATTGTTACTGTACCCGATTCCCTTATATTGGAAAAGCTGGAAGGCACACCCTACTTAATGACTTCATGAAAGGGTAAATATCCTGAAAGTGTCACTTCTGAAAACCACAGCTGCTTGTGGCAGGAGCAGATATTAGATATACACATTACTAAGCTCAAACATTTGCTTATTCACTGTTCCACATTCAACATGCAGCCCAGTAGAAGGATGTCATTCCTCGATGTTAGGAGTGTTCCACTGTTAATGAAGGGGACCCGCATCTTCATATCTGACCATACGTGACCATCTTCATGTCTCTTCCAGATACCAGAGCTCAGACATACTAATGACCACACACATACCACTAAACACTTTTAAGGCTGTCCATTAAGAGTAGAATACATCTGCTTCCTCATGGCCCAAGCAGTGTGGGCAG